AAAGCGATACCCCATGATTTTTTAATTAGCATTTACATAAGATTTTTTGCGGCTGCTCATATGAATATGCATGTTCGCAGCTTTGCTTAACCCCAAACCCTACACCTGAAACCCAAACAGCCAGCACTGGGTAGCCCAGGAACCATCTTATACTAAGGGCACCCTTCTTTGGGTTGGCTATTTTCTAAGGGAAACCAGAACCCCAAAAAAAAGGGTAAAGGGTACCCCATCGGCTACCAAGAGCATTAAGCCGAGGCCTCCAAAGCGGTCTCTGTCATGGCCATCTCTTGCCTGTTTTCAGGAGCGTCAAGGTGTTCAGTAACCTACATCGAGTTCTAAGTAGAGGTACCATAATTTCAACACAAGACCCGAAACCCTACATTCTAAGACCCTAAACTCTAGAATCTCCGAGCTGCCATGATATCATCACAGGGGCTTTGTGGGTCTATACTTACTACGGGCCCCTGATTTCCCAGAGCCCTCCCCATATGGCTTCTGTCATCATTAAGCGGGAGCCTTGTGTAGTTTAAGTGATTTTTTGACGAAGACTGAGAGGCTTTGGGCTCTTGGGTTGAGCTGGAACTCCGAAAATCCAGGACACCTTTCGGATTTGGGGTTTTGGGTTTAGGGTTTCGGGTTGCAAAGGTGCGTGTTTTTGAAATCCAACGGTGACCCCAAAAGGGAACAAAGGTTTACGGTTTGGGTTTAGGCTTTAATTAGGGTATAGGGTTAGCGGGGGACCTGATCTTCTGACTTGAGAGTGAGGTTTGCAGATGCTTCGATGGTTGTCTGTGTGGAGGCCCCTATAAACTCTAACCCTAAACCCTCAAACCCTAAACCCTCAACCCTAAACCCTAAACCCTCAACCCTAAACGATGCGTGCCCGCGCAGAGGCCTCAGCTTGTCTGAGGTCGTCTGCGCAACTTCCTGCGCAGGTGCTCCATAAGCCCCCGAGCCCGCGATGCGGAAACCCTCCACCCTATGCCCCCCCAACCCTACACCGAAAAATCGCACTTCTTCACTACCAACTGCTTAAGAACCCCCCAAGAAATATACATGTTCTTCCAGATTATAAGGGCAATACAGGGATTGTTTTTTATCTTTTTAAGTTTTTGGGGGTTCTTAAACAGATAGTAGTTCAAGCCGTAGCTTGGAGTGCGGGTGTCGGGACGGCCAACTTCTTGCTTTAGGGGCTTAGTGGGTCTTAGGGTTGGGGGGGCTGCTTTTTGAACACCTTCAGAGTTCCAAACAGCCAAAACCCCAAAACCTCCACATGGAAAATCAAAAACAACAAACCGAAAAAGCAACAAGCTAACAAAAAAAACCAATAACACCAAACCTAAAACAATCAAAGTTCCAATAGCACGGAAGCCTACCCAGACTTAGTGATTTAAAGGCTTGCGCCCTAAACAATTGTTCTAGACCCTCAACTTCTACCCTAAACCCTATCTAAGCCCTAAATCCAAAGTCCCCAAACCCTAAACCCTACTCTAAACCCTTAACCCTGTGGATGCTGACGTCCTCCCGCTCAAGGGCTGTGGCAAGAAGGCCATGGGACTGGCGAAGCGCGACGACCGCCTGCCAGTCATCAGAGGCTCGGGGCTTTGGGGGTTTTAGGGTTTAGGGTTTAGGGTTTAGGGTTTAGGGTTTAGGGAACCCTAAATTCTACAAACCACACACCCTAAAGCCTAAACGGCTGCGGGTTTTGCGGACTTCGAGGTTGTCTTTTTGGAGGGCTCCGGAGCTATCATGGCCCGAAACTGCAAAACCCATGAGACATCGACTGCAGCATACGCTAGCGCATCAGGGATGATGGCGTTGAACGAGTGCTTCAAGGTTCACTTGGCAGCCTACTCGATAGGCCGTGGGAGCACCATGTGAAAGCAATGCACTTAAGAGTGGAGATGGACTCTACTGCGACGAGAGCAAAAGCTAAATCCTGATAACCCTAAACCCTAAACCCTAAACCCTAAACCCTGAACCCTGAACCCTGAACCCTAAACCCTAAACCCTAAACCCTAAGCCCTAAACCCTAAACGCTAAACCCTAAACCCTAACCAGCCTTTGCAAGCTCTGCCGTCCACTCTTCGCGAGTACCGTCCTTGGGATCGGCTCTGACTTGTGGACCCTCCAAGCCCTAAACCCTACGCCCTAAACCCCTAACCCCTAACCCCTAACCCCTAAACCCTAATTAAACCCTAAACCCTAAACCCTAAACCTTACGCTAAACCCTACTTTCCGGGTTCTGAGTAGGGACTGTGGGAAGTAGGTACCTCATATGCCCCCCCTTCATTACCCTTTGAGGGATTAGATTCGATTAGATGGGGGGACCCAAGTTGCCAAATTCCCTACTAAAAACTGGTCGGTGCTTTTGTGGCCAATACTCCTTAACCACGCCATGTACGTGGAGGTCCATTTGCAATTATAAGTAGCGGTATACTAGTACCCTAAATGGGTTTTAAGTTGACATTTCATACGTACAACCCGACTTCTGACTACCCATGAACCTCCAAGTAGGGTTTAGGGTTTAGGGCCGTGTAGGGGTAGTAAGGATCCTTCTGTGCTCCAGGTATTGGGCTCTCTGGGTATGAGCATCGCTGAACGATGTGGGTTTCAGGGCGCGGTCCTCTCAACCCCCCAAAACGCAACCCCTGAAGGCTAAACCCTAACCTTCTCAAATCGAGGCTTTCCAGTTTTTGTTGACGTCTAGGCGTGATAGAGAGTGTCCTTGGGTTTTGAACTGTGCGTTTTGCAGCTTTCGACCACCACCTAGGAGGTGCCGAGGCCAAAGCCAAGGATTGGGCCACGGAGGTCAACCGCTGTACCTGCAACTTTCTGCAAGCACAAGGCTGCTGGCAATTTGCTAGCACGCCGCTTTTGCCGAAATCAAAAGGCCGCTACTGACTGTACCGCCAGGGCCAGGGCTAACTCTGTATGCCATTTGCTGTAGTGTTGCCTTGCTCGCTTTGTCCACTCTCGCGGCAGGCTGCCAGTCGCATGATACAAGCACATTAGGGTTGAGGGTTTCGGGTTTGGGGTTTTGTGTTTAGGGTTTAGACTTTTTCTTTAGGGCTTAGGGTTTTTCTTTAGGGGTTAAAGGGTTTCGACTCGTGTCTTGTGTTGCTTCGATGTGTCTGTGGGGTTTCTTCAAGAGCCCTGAGGCCCTAACAGCAACCCTAAACCCTAAACCCTAAACCCTAAACCCTAAACCCTAAACCGGAGACGCTCAATCGGCTTCAGTCCAGCGAGGTCAATGTTCCTTCATTAAGAGCCCTCAAACCTAGACCCACGCCCTCAACCCTAAACGCTGAACTAAAAATCTTCTTCCGTACTCCTTCCTGAAGGTTGGGCTCTCTGGGCTGCGATGATGAAACCCTTCTTCCCCCCCCCCCCCCTTGGCCTAAACCCTAAACCATTAACCTTGAATCGAACCCTGAACCCCAAATCCCAAATCCCAAACCCCAAACCCCAAACCCTAAACCCTAAACCCTGAACCCTAAACCCTAAACCCTAAACCCTAACCAAAGCCTCCGCTTGCAAATCCATGTGTGCCATTTTCTCCTCGTGGAGCTCCGACTGCTGCTCCTGGAAACACTTTGGAGCTCCAGGTTCCGAGTTCGGGTTTAGGGTTTAGGGTTTAGGGTTTAGGGTTTAGGGTTTAGGGTTTAGGGTTTAGGGTTTAGGGTTTAGGGTTTAGGGTTTAGGGTTTCGGGTTTCGGGTTTCGGGTTTAGAGGTTCGCGGTTTGCGTTGGGGGTTTGGGTTGAAAGCTCAGGGTTTCGGCAATGGGTTTTGGGGGGTTAGGGTTCTGGCTCGTAGCGACCTCACCACGGCATGACTATCCTGAACCCTAAACCCTAAACCCTAAACGTTAAACCCTAAACCCTAAACCCTAAACCCTAAACCCTAAACCCTAAACCCTAAACCCTAAACCCTAAACAAAGGGGCGGTGGAGCTGGGGAGAGGGGGCACGTTCCTGGAGCACACGTCACTCACATTATCGATCAGGCTCCCACGAGTGGCTGACGGTCGAACATGACATGAGTAACCCATGTATGCCTTTTTTTGCCAAGGTCAGGTGGGTTCCACACGCGACGGCGGTGGCGAGTGGCAGAGAATGGCGTGGACTGTTGGGAAAGAGATTATTAGATACATAATTTCACGGCAACTGCCGCTTGAGCTGGAAAATCGACGTAGCATCCCAAGTGACACTTCTTTGGGTTCAGCTGCTGCTTTGCAATCTCCATCCCAATCGGTTCACAAATTTGGAATTGTGAGGTCCTTTTGGGCCCGTGAGTACCCACTTTTGCAAATACATGGCTCGAATATTGAGCAGGCTTGTGTATTTCTAGTATCCCCCCAAAACACAGCACTCCAAATCTACGCTGATGTATCATTAAAAGGACCCGTGCGTAGACGCACTTATGGCAGTACTACCAATCCTACCACATATGATTCCTAAACCCGAGTTCATTTGCCCCTAAACCCTAAACACCTAAACCCTACACCCTAAACCCTACTAAACCCGAGTTCAAGTGCCGCTAAACCCTAAACCCTAAACCCTAAACCCTAAACCCTAAACCCTAAACCCTAAACCCTAAACCCTAAACCCTACACCCTAAACCCTAAACCCGAACACCTCTTCTAAATCTTGTCATCTGATGGCCGGAGACCTCTTGAACCCAAGACCTGAAGGAAGAACATGGCCCTTAATCTTGGGTCCTTAAATACCTACCCAAAAAAAAAATATATATATATATACACATATTTATATATATATATATATACATATATATATATATCTACATATAGATGTAGATAAACAGAGATATGTACCTGTCATGGCTCCCACACATGTACATAACACATAAAACAAACAAACAAACAAACAAACAAACAAACAAACAAACAAACAAATAAACAAATAAACAAATAAACAAATAAACAAATAAATAAATAAAATAAACAAATGCGACCTCTCTAGGGGCCCATGCAGCGATGCTCAGAGCGCCGAACGCTTCAATGGAAAATACAGCCTCAGTAGGGTTTAGGGGTTTAGGGTTTAGGGTTTAGGGTTTAGGGTTTAGGGTTTAGGGTTTAGGGTTTAGGGTTTAGGGTTTAGGGTCGGGTTTGGGGTTTAGGGCTTTGGGAGAGACCGGCGAGCACTTCTGGTGGTTTCCGACATTAGGGGTACCTTAGGGGCCCCTTGCACGATACAGTTGGGGGATTTGGACTGCGCAGCTGAAGTTAGTTGGGGTGGATCAAAATCCCAAACACCCTTGAAACCTAAACCCTAAACCCTAAACCCTAAACCCTAAACCCTAAACCCTAAACCCTAAACCCTAAGCAGTTGCAAGGCAAAGTCCCATTGACTGAAGGAGGCCCCTCAAAAAGAATCCGAGACGACCCGACAAAATTCGAAGCCCTGTATAAGACAACCCAGAGCCATGCCCCTCAAGTGTCTACCTGCGAGGTTCATTTGGGTAGTCGTAAGTAGGGTATGGTAACTAAGACTTATAACTCTATTCAGGGCAGCTATACCCCCTACTTATGATATCTTATAATTTCCCATGCATGAACTGGAGGTTTCAGAAAATTTCGCCCTCAACAGATTCAACAGCAGACAACATGTACAGGTTTTCTGGGGCTCAAAGACCATGACGGTGCGATCGCTTTTGTTGAGGTGGACCTGTCTCAAAGACATGATCTTCAGACTAAAGGGTGCGTGTATCTATGTATCTATGTACATATACATGTGTATATACATATATATATATATAATGAAAAAACATACGAACATTACAAAATAAGCATAGCAAAAAGGAATCATAGTTATCATAATAACAGTAACATGCAACGGTTCCGATGGGTTGGTGGGATTAAGGGTCCCCCAAACTGATCTGTTCCGCCAGGAGGCATCCGCTTCATGTCTGGACGGTTTGATCCCCACGCGAGCTCCTTGATGGAGAGGACAGCCTGACTGGAACAAGCGTAGGGTTTAGGGTTTAGGGTTTAGGGTTTAGGGTTTAGGGTTTAGGCGGTTTAGGGTTTAGGGTTTTGGGTTTAGGGTTTAATGTGTAGGGTTTAGGGTTTAGGATTTAGGGTGGTGGGATTTCCTTCCCTGCCCAAAAAAAATTACAGGGTACCCGTTCTGGGTTTCCTTTAGGGGGTTGTAGTCAACTATATAATGGTCTTTGAAGAGGTTACAGGATAAAAACATGTCTGTACAGCATGGTCCCTTCGGAAAGAAGGGGGGGGGGGTGGGGGGTCGGGGGTTGGATTCCGATTACAAACCGGATCCTTGTAGCCAACCGCCCGAACCGACTCACAGTTTAGGGAAATGTCTGAAATTCTGAGAACCCTAAACCTACTAAGAACCCTAAAGAAACCTGAACCCTAAAGTGCCCTGAGCAACTAAGAACCCTAAAACCTAAGAAACCCAAACCTACTCACCCTAAAAAAACCCAGGCCCTAAACCCTACAGAACTCTGCCCCCCTAAAGTTTGAAGAGCCCTTTTGTTCAGGCTTTCGGGCGTATAGGGTGTAGGGTGTAGGGTTTAGGGTTTAGGGTTTAGGGTTTAGGGTTTAGGGTTTAGGGCCATGAGAACGCCCTGAGCTTTGAACCTCGGGAGCCAACGCCGAGCGGTTGATCTCCCACCAAAGCGACCCCTTCTCGGGGAAGGGGAGGGCATCCCACTCTTCCTTCAGTCAGGGTTTAGGGTTTAGGGTTTAGGGTTTGGGGTTTGGGGTTTGGGGTTTGGGGTTTTGGGGTTTGGGGTTTGGGGTTTAGGGTTTAGGGTGTTTTGGGATGGTTGGGGGGCTTGGGGTGTGGGGGGGGGGGGGGGGGGTTGGGGTGTGGGGGGTTTGGGGGTTGCTGGGGGTATGGGGGGGTGGGGGCTTGGGGTTTAAACAGAGGTGGCTGATAGGGTTCAGAGTTTAGGGCCTAGGGTTTTTGGGGTTGAAGGGTTTAGTGTTTGGGTCTGGGCTTCGTGCGGTGGGTTTTGATGGTTTTGATGCCTTTTATTATATATATATATATATATGTCTATGTATATGTGTGTATATCTATATGTATATATATATATATGTTTATTGTTTTGTGAAGAGGGGGTTGGCCTGAAAAAGGTTGAGTTTTCTGTTGGCTATACAAGAGTTACATGGAGAAAAGAACCATTATGTCGAAATAGCTCACAGTACAGCTTCAGGGTCTACGGTTTAGTGGCTAGGCTGATAGGGTTCACAGTCTAGTCTACAAGCTGGGATGCAGGTTTCGGGGCTGAGGGTTTCTCACTGATGTCTCACTGATGTCCCACCAGAAACACGAAGCACCGGTATGCCCTCAAGCACACGCGTGGCAGTCCTGCGTGAACCAGCGTGCGTCCGTCAGCTCGCCTGACGGAAAAATACAGCATCGCAACGGTAGGCCCTGAGCCCGGATCCCGAAAATCTAACCCCCCCCAAGGTAATGTTGACTTCACATTAGTGGATCCGGATCCACCCGCAATTGTAAAATCCCGCTGCCGGAACACAATAGTGTAGCCCGCCACAATTGTAAAATCCGACCCGGGGAATCCGGGTTTTACGGGTGATGTTATGTTATTAGCTCAACCCTAAACCCCTAATTAGGGCCTGAACCCTCACCCCTCAACCTCCTCCTCCTACTACTACTACTACTACTACTACTACTACTACTAGTACTACTAGTACTACTAGTGGTACTACTACCTAATACTAAAACTAATACTACGTCCTACCAGTTTTTAGGCGGATACTATTGAGGAGGCCCTGGCCGGAGAGATTGATCAATGAAGGGGGGGGTTTATTAATGCGAAGTCAACATTATGCAAAAAAAATGTCCATTCTATGGGTTTTGGGTTTTCCTCTACATACTCCAGGAATCCTGAACCGTTAGCCTTACGAAGTTGTGGCCCTGGATACCCCCGCGACGGATCATGTCGAGACCCAAGAGTAACCTCAACCCTATACTCAGGACTGCTAGTATAAGGGGGGGAACATCCCAACATCAACTGCAATTGAGGTTTCCAGAAGTTAGGGTGCAGACGTCATCTGGGGTGTTTGAAAAAAGTGAGATCCACTTACTCCTGATATGCCCCTAAACTCGAAACCCGAAACCTGAACCCTGAAACCTAAAGCTAAAACCCTCTAAACCCTGTAAACCCAAAACCCTAAACCCCAACACTTGCTATAGGAACCCCGAAAGTAGGTATCCCCAAACTAAGGCCGCTGCTTTGGCACATTTGGATCTGGTTGCTCAGCGCTTTGCCTAGGGGTTTGGGTTCACCGGGGTCAAGTACTACTGTCTGTTTAAGAACCCCCCCCCCCAAACATATCAAAAACAAAAAACATTCTTCCTCTTCCTCATAAGGGCATTATAGGGATTAATGTATTTGGTTTTGTGGGGGGGTTCTTAAGCAAATTAGTAGAGTACCTTGGTGCTATTTTGACCTTATGCCCGAGGCAGACTGCCTCCGCTTTATGCGATGTTACTCTTCAGAGCAGCGCTGGCTCAAGTAGTAGCAAGTGAAGGCGACTCTTTCTATAGCAGGTATCCTCACTGGACTTCTGGCCCAAGTTACCAAACCGAAAAACCCAATTTCGGGGCTCCTATACCTTGCAACCCCTAAACCCTAAACCCTAAACCCCAAACCCCTAAACCCTAAACCCCTAAACCCCTAAACCCGAAACCCTAACTATACTGAGCCCTAAAATGGGGACTTACCCTCATGCTTTTGCTGCATTTACGCAGCTGGGGGTGGGGGGGGGGGGTGGGGGAGGGTTCGACGGGGCTCATGAAGCTCTTTGGAGGACGCTGCTGTCTTAGGGTAGTTCCGAGGTCCCTTAGTATGTGCCTTGAGTAGATGGGTTTTAGGGCTCACGATTTAGGATTTGGGGTTGCAGCTCGGACTCTGAAAGAACTCATACTCAACCTACTTTAGGGTTTAGAGCTTAGGGACTTGAAGGCCAACGGGCTTGACAAGAAACTGCCACTGAGCCAAGCTGCATTTGACTATGAAGAAGATGTTGCTCTTCCCCTCCTTGGCTGGGGCAACCCCTAAACCCTAAACCCTAAACCCTAAACCCTAAACCCTGAACCCTGAACCCTAAACCCTAAACCCTAAAACGCCCCTTGAAGAAGGGAGAGTTCAAGGACCCCTTAATAAAGGGAATAGACATGACACTATTATAGAGGGTCCTTGGTGTGAAATAAGGTATATTGCTTTAATTGAGGCTCTTAGTTGCTGAGTTCATAAGCCCCCAAAAAAGTGTACACTTTCAGTGCTATAGGGGATTATAGTATCCCAAGAAGTGTGAAGTGTGCTCACTCAGGGCTGTGGGGGCTATTTGGGCCAGCAATGCAGTTCGGTTTAAAGGGAGTCCCAGATTCTGGGACTTTCGGTTCAAAGAGCTTTCCAGCAGACGCGACCTGCCACCGGCCCAACCGTTCAACCGCAACGAAGCTCTGAGCTTACCACCCTCTAAACCCCTAAACCCTCCTAAACCCCCCCTATACCCTCAAAACCCTCTAAACCCCTAAACCCTCTAAACCCCTAAACACCGAAACCCCTTCACCCTAAGCCCTCTAAACAGTCTAAACCCTCTAAACCCCTAAACCCCTAAGCCCCTAAACCCTCTAAACCCTCTAAACCCTCTAAACCCTCTAAACCCTTGAAACCCTCCAAACCCTCCAAACCCTCTAAACCCTCTAAACCCTCCAAACCCTCTAAACCCTCTAAACCCCTAAATCTACTAAATTTCCAAAATCTCTGAACTGTCTAAACCCCTAAGCCCTTAAACCTTAAACCCTAAACCCTAAACCCTAAACCTTTTTTGACCAAGGCTCATGCGCCAGATTGCCACCTGGGACGTCCCACTTGGAGGTTCATGGGTACTTATAACCACAGTTCTAAGTCTACGTACTTATAACCTACTTAGGGGACTTAGGGGGCTCATAAGTACAGTTAAAATTAGGGGTTATAAGTACCCTGAACCTCCAGGCACTGGAGAGCGCTACTTTTCGGGGGTCGAATATCGGGGGCATTAGTACTTAGAACAGGGTATTTGGGGGGGCGGGGGGTTAGGAAAGTGTAGTCATATAGGGATCGTAAGGGAATCTCTTAGACCCTATAGTATGGGTTTGCAGGCCTTATTTTGGTGGGGGGGGGGGGGGGGGGGTTAGGTTTTTTTGGGGAAGCTGGGACGCAATTCTTGAGGGTCCATGGGGGTTTGAAGCCTTATTTTCGGGGGTTTAGGATTTAGGATATGCTTCAGTGTAGGTCTTGCGCAAGCAGCCGAAAGTCGAGCATGATAATTTGCCATTTGCGAGGTGCAGACATGTCCATACCTGGAACCCCAACCCCCCCCCCCCCCCCCATAAGAATCCCTAACGCATTCGCACCACACCTGCTCTCACCATGATTATTTGGTTCAGGGTTTAAAGCCCGAACGAGGCTTGAGTTTAGGATGAAAGAGCTTCATAGTTTCATTGGGTTTAGGCTGCGGGTTTAAGATGAGCTTCTTGGGCTTGTAAGATGCAAGCACTGGGGAGCTGGCCGTGATTCATAGTGAACGCCCCGAAATACTCAAACGTTGCGTCAATGCCCGTCTCCTGTCATGCGATCGTGCTGGCATCTGCGCAGGGCTTAGCCCTGATTCCTTTCTTAAGCCTTATAATCCCCTTGAAACCCAAAGACTACCCTTGTATTCCTAGAATACTGCTGGGTCTACTTAAACAAGTGATGTAATCGTGGCAGGCTGGGCTTCTAGGCTTGGGTGGAATGTGAGCTTGGATTCTCAGGTCTAGCTTGCGAGTTTTGGGTTTAGGGTTTGGGGCCTGGGGCACCCAAAATGAGCACAATGTCAACCTTACCACGAATCCCAAACCCTCAGCCCTCCATGCACGGGCCTCCTTCACCTCTCGGACGACTGCTTCATGAAGCTCCTGGTGGGGTGCGAAACGCTTCTAATTCTGCTGGGGCTAACATGCTATTTGAGGTTTAGCTTGGGATGTTCCCCCTTATACTGACAGTCCTTGATAGGGATTGCTATAGGGGGTACTATAATCCCTTCTAAGAACTGGGGTAAAAACTTACCATGCTCTGTGCCAAAGCTCCGCACCTCTCAAAGGCCCTGGAGCGGACACGACACCTAAACCCTAAACCCTGAACCCTGAACCCTGAACCCTGAACCCTAAACCCTAAACCCTATAAACCCTAAACCCTAAACCCCAAACCCTAAACCATCCTAAACCTCAACGATTTCAGCCGCCGCACGCCCAGAGCCGGAGTCACCCTAAGACCCTACACCGCAGACTCTCAAACCTGTACCCAAAATCCCACAAGAGAAAGGATTTTCGGTCCTCCAAAACCTGCAGTAAACTCCAGAAAGTTGGAACATGGGCTTAGGATGAGTAGTACTGGGTTTCCCTATATTTGACCTTAAGGGCATTAGGATATTGATGTTCCAACCCTAAACCCTAAACCCTAAACCCTACAGTAAATCCTAAACCCTAAACCCTTTCTGGAGACTACTATTAAAAAGCTGACCCAAACCTCCCTCAGAGGGCCTCACCCGCATCCACCATGCCGGTGGGGATCTTCCATACTCCGGAGCGGCCAGCTGGGCCCGTGCGCTCCCGGACCAGGAGGATGTGCCCCTTGCAACTTTGCTTTCTAGCCCGGGTTAGGGTTTAGGGTTTTAGGGTTTAGGGTTTAGGGTTTAGGGTTCAGGGTTTAGGGTTTAGGGTTGAGGGGTTAGGGTTTAGGAACTACAGGGTTCTTCAGTTCCTTTAGTGGGGAAGTACTGCACTAGGTACCTTATAGAATCTCCTTATACATCCACCCCTCAAGGGAGTAGACAGGGTACCTTACTCCCAAATTCCCTACGAAGATATGAGTTCAGGGCAGCTTGATACTAAATCTTAACCTGAAGAAAGATTCCCTAAACCCTAAACCCTAAACCCTAAACCCTAAACCCTAAACCCTAAACCGTGTCTATACCACCCCAGACAAGTTTGAGGAGGTTCTGAGGCCGGCCCCAGGCCATGGGCACGGCGCAAGACAGTGGATTGGGCCTAGGAGCTGTGGGATCCTTAGTTTGCTTTAAGGTCTACTCCTTACTTACGTAAGGGATGTTGGGCCCTTCGGGCTTCAACTTTGTGTCCTGACTCTTAAACCCCAAGCCCCAAACCCTAAACCCCTAAACCCCTAACCCCAAACCCCAAACCCCAAACCCTAAACCCTAAAACCCTAAACCCTAAACCCTGAGCCGCGTAAGGAGCCAAGAGACTTCAGAGTTCGTGACGAGCGCACCCACGCCGATGGTGTGGCTCGCGTTTGCAGGCAGCGTGTTCGGAGCATCCTTAGGCAGCCTCAACGCTTAGGGTTTAGGGTTTAGGGTTCAGGGTTTAGGGTTTAGGGTTTATGTGTTAGGGTTTAGGGTTTAAGTTTTCGGGCACTTGTTGGGCTCCGAAGCCTGACAGCTGAATTTCAAAGGTAAAAAAGTGAAAGAAACCAAAAGCACAGATAAAAACCATTAAATCTACTGGACGTCTTAATTATAAAATAGAATGACATTGAAAGACTTCTCATAAAGTAAAATAGGATGAAGATAGAAGTAAATAAGATAATGAATCCTGCATTTTTATTTGGTACAGCTTTTAACATAGCATATTGGCATAAGAAACACCATTCAGGTACTATATGTAAAGGAGTAAGTAATCCACATGCTTCTAATGCATTATCTGGATGTGAGAAAGAAGAGAAGCCGAAATGAATTTGAAGAAGATATAGATAGAGAATTAATATCTTTCCATAGAAATCTTTACTAATAATGAAAGGAAAAAATGCTATTTTATTATTAGTGGAATTCCTTAAAGGATTATTAGAAGATAGAAAATGTAGATTAAAAATATGAAAAAGAAGAAAAGCACAAAGAAGAAATGGAAATAGAAAATGAAAGACAAAGAACCTCTTTAATGTTGGATTGTAAATATAATGTCCTCCACAAAGCCATTCTATTAAAGATGGAAATGGAGATAATAAATTTGTAATTACTGTAACTCCTCATAAACTCATTTGTCCTAAAGGTAAAACATAACCCATAAATGCTGTTCCCATTAAGAAGAAGTAAATAATAATTCCAGAAAACCAAGTATTTGGATTATAAAAATATGAAGCATAAGATATAGCTCTTCCAAGATGAAGAAATATAAAAAGAAAGACAAATGATACACCATTAGAATGAAGATAACGTAAACACCATCCATAATATATTTCTCTAATTAAAAAGAAAAGAGAAAAATATGCTGAATTAATATCTGATGTATAATGTAAACCTAAGAAGATTCCTGTAATAATTTGTAATAAAATAGTAATTCCTAATAAAAAACCAATATTCCAAAATAATTTATGATCAAAGGACAAGGATATGATTGTAAATGAGATTTCATTAGTACTACAAAATATGCTGCATTCACTTTGTTTCGTACTTCGTTCACTATTTTTAATGCTGTTCATGCTTCACTTTGTTCATTATAACAGCAGTAAAAATACGCTCTCTTCGTAGTTTTATTAATAATATTATCCCGCGAGCAATAATAAATGCAAAGAGCTCGCGAATGTAGCACGAAAACCAATCATTCACTCGTGCCGTTCGTTCGTTTATATATTAAATTCACGCAGCAGAGAAAGTGCTTCAAATTGGTGCACTGTAGTACCCAAAGGCTTTTACCGCATCCTTCAGGTCGCCAAGGTTCTTGATTCCTTGCACATCACCCCTTCAGATCTTCTCATTCTGCCAGACTCAGAATCCAAAGCCTAAATCGTGAATCCTCAACCCCAAGCCCTAAAGCCATCAAAAACGAAAACCAACACCCTCAACCCTCAGACTCAAACCCCTAAGGCCATGAACCCGAAACCCGAAACCCTAAACCCTAAACCCTAAACCCTAAACCCTAAACCCTAAACCCTAAACCCTAAACCCTAAACCCCAACTCCTTCAGCTCAGCCATGCAACCACTTCGTCATCATGACATGATCGGGCTCAGCCTGTGGCTCGGAGTCTACTTGTAGGAGAGGGTTTAGGGTTTAGGGTTTAGGGTTTAGGGTTTAGGGTTTAGGGTTTAGGGTTTAGGGTTAGGGTCTCCCCTATATGGGGGGTTACGATACTAGGGGTACCTTTTTGGGGGGGGGGGGGGGGGCCGTATTGCTACTGGCACAAGGGAATCCTACTATTTGGGGGGGGGGGGGGGGGTCTATATTAGGGCTCCCTTATTTTCGTAAACCCCCATATGGAGTAGGGTATATATTTCTTGTACCCCCAAAAGGACACCAAGTACATACACTCACCAATATGAAAAAGGAACCTTATATACACTCACCAAAAACAGTAATATAAACCCTACTTCATATGAGTTCAGAATAAACCTAGGTTGCCCAGTAACCTAGGATGAAAAAGGGTGCCCTTTTTTGCTTAAAGGGGTTTCTAAGGGAACCTAAACCTACCAAAAAGGGAATAAGGGTACTACTGGGCATCCTAGAAACTTCTTAGTTGTGGTATTCAGACCCGCCACAATCAGGAGCCGTAAAGGCGCATCACTCCATGGAGCGAAGCCCCTGCAGCCTCCGAATAGGGTTTAGGGCTTAGGGTTTAGGGTTTAGGGTTTAGGGTTGAGGGTTTAGGGTTTAGAGCCATCATGAGCAGCCTCCGAATAGCAGTCGATTCTCGGGCGGCAGCCAGGTAGTTTAATCGAAAACCTGGACTATTGTGTCGACGAGTATGGTCAAGCGAACTCGCCGCGTGCGTGGATCGTTCAAGGCGGTTGCGGCTGAACTCATGCTTCGAACTCTTAGCGCCGATGTTGTTCAGTCGAGAATTCCAGCATAATTCTAGTATATGGATCCGATAGCCTTATACTATGCCAGAGAAATCATGCCGCGCCCTATCTAGTGAACAGTCTCCCCCCTCCCCCCGAATAGTCGAAACAGATTTTGGTCAAAGATGCGCCACACGAAATATTCTTCTAACACCCGGACGACTTGACTGCGTAGCGGATCCCACAGGGCCTCAAACGGTCGCACGGTACGGAATAGCCCGGCAAGCTCGACTTTACGGAGGGGGCCCCTGCTAAACATGGTGCAACACCCTAAACCCTAAACCCTAAACCCTAAACCCTAAACCCTATGCTCCCAACTCCGAACCTTAAACCCTCCAAACCGTTCCTTCCCATTTTGGGGTCTGCATGTTACAAGTTACCTCCGCCCTCATACTCGGGCTCGCGATGCTGGAGCGGTTTAGGGTTTAGGGTTGATAGGATTTCCGAGCGCAACGAACATTGCGTCGGGCGGCAAATCTAGACGTGCATCGGCCTGCCACAGCCGACCCTAAACCACTAAACCCTGAACCCTGAACCCCCCAAAAAAACCGATAAAACCCCAGAACCCCCCCCCCCCCCCAAAAGAAAAAAAAAAACCCAAACCCCAAACCCTAAACCCTAAACCCTAAACCCTAAACTCAAGTCCGCTTCAAGCGTCATGGTGGAACTCGAAGCCGAACTCTTTGGTGGCAATAGGTATCCTGACTTGATACTTCTTAGAAGCTAGGTTGCCTAAACCCTAAACCCTAAACCCTAAACCCTAAACTGGCTGCACTCAGGAAGGTAGCTATAAATTAAACTTTTAGCTGCCTTATTAAGAAACCCACTAAACCCAAAAAAGGTAAAGATCTAAAGTTACCGTAAAGCATCACAAAGGACACTTCTTAGAAGGGAGCTTCGGGGTTAGGGGCTTAGGGGTTCAGGGTTTAGGGTTAGGGCGTTTAGGGTTCAGGGGTTTAAGGTATCCTGACTTGATACTTCTTAGAAGCTAGGTTGCCCAGTAACCAAGGCTCAAAAAGGGTGCCCATATTTGCTTAAAGGGGTTTATAAGGGGTTTATAGGGAAACCTAGAGCCCCCAAAAAGGGAATAAGGGCACTGCTGGGCATCCCAGGAAGGGGAGCTTCGGGGTTAGGGGCTTAGGGGTTCAGGGTTTAGGGCGTTTAGGGCGTTTAGGGTTTAGGGGTTAAAGGTTTAGGGGTTAAAGGTCTCCTGACTTTAAACTTCTTAGATTGGATCTTCGGAGTTTGGGGTTTAGGGGCTGCAAGTGCGGGTTTAGGGGTTTAAGGTTTAGGGGTTTAGGCTTTACACGCTTGGGTTTAGGGGTTTAGGGTTTTAGGGGTTTAGGGTTTACAAGTTTGGGTTCAGGGGTTGAAGTTTCGCGGTTTAAGGGTTTGTGGTGCAAGGTTTCAGGGTCTGGAGTTTAGGCTGTAGCTCTTCGAGGGCCAGTGAAGGACGTGACATCCACCTGTGTCACTACGGGACTCTGTCAGCTTCTAAAGGCCTATACAGGGCACCGAACCGGCAACCAAGGGCTTCTGAAAGCGCATTATGTAAACACTAAACTCAAACCCGTGAACCGCAAAGCCTGAACCCGAATCCCTGGACCGTGTAAACCCTCGGCCCCCCCCCCCCCCCCCACCCTGTCCCGTAGGAGTGGTTGAGGCTTGAGGGCCTTAGGCCCCCCCCCCCCCCCCCCCCCTACCCCCAGCCGCTAGTTCCTTAAGTTCTTGGTCGGAGCACAAGCTGCACCTACCCTACTGTTGATGCTTGCAGCAAGCAGCGAGAACGGGCCCTGAACCCTACTCCCCGGCCAGAGGGGACAAGCGTCAGCGAGGATTTCTCGATGCTCAGATGAAGCCACCTTACAGGAGTCTGGGCTGTAAGGTCGTAATCTGCTGACTCAAGCACTCGTTCGAGGCCCTCGAGCTTGCGGAACTTAAGGGGTAGGTGAGGGGCCATATCAAGGGCCCATGTAACTTCCCTTAGATCCGAAACCCTCAACCCAAAACCCTAAGCCCTAAACCCTAAACCCTAAAAAAAAGGCCCTCTGAACCCTAAGAAGACCCAAGCTGCAAACCCTAGCTGCTTCGGCTTCAGGGTGCAGGGCTCAGTGTTCGTGTAAACTGTACTCCCCTTAGAACCATCATAAAAAACCATTTTGTGTAAGTATTCCCTTGGGTTTTTAATCACAACCCACATTTTTGAGTATTCCCTCCAGTTTTTAATAACAACCCATAATTTTAAGTGTTCCCTTGGGTTTTGATTTAACACACAGTGCAAAGTAATTCCTAAGGGGGCTATAGTAAAGGCTGAGATCCCGACACGCCACGCTTCTGTTGCATCTCCCACTCCTGGAGCGAGGACGCCTCAGATGCGTGGCCCGCGACAATCGAGACTTGCAGCCCTGTGGGGGTTAGGATTTTGGGGCTCTGGCTGGCTTAGGGCTGTTACCCCTAAACCCTAAACCCTAAACCCTAAACCCTAAACCCTAAACCCTAAACCCTACACCCTAAACCCCAAACCCTAAGCCCTACGCCCTAAATCCTAGAAGGTGTGGGCAGGGCGGAGTGCCGCGCCCAAGGAGTGGCTCGGGGCAACCCAACTTAGACCCTCGTTCTCTTCCGTGCCAAACTTTCTGACGGTTATGAGTACTCAACTTTCCAAGGGTTTAGGGTTTAGAGTTAAGGGTTCAGGGTGGTAACGAGTACGGGAGCCTAAGCCCTAAACCCCACACCCTGAACCCCGAACCCTACAAGTTGTTCCCGGTCTATCCCAGAGGTGTCCAGACTCCAGACCCAAAGCTCCAAGCCCGCGCGTCTGCAGCTCATGACGGCGCAGGGCTGAGACAGGGTTTAGGGTTTAGGGTTTAGGGTTTAGTTTAAGGTTTAGGGTTTCGGGTTTACGGTTGCCGTAAACAGTCTATTCTGCAGCAGAACCCCAATCAACCGGAAACTCTTGAGAGCCTGAAAACAAAGAAACCAATACCCCTGAATTCAGGAATCTAACCCATAGCATACCCAGGATTCCTATATCGAAAAGGGTTGCTATGATAAGGCGCGCCCTAGTATTTAGGGCACCAAACCTGGGACCCTACCTAGTTTAGAGAATCCCCCATATGGCTTAAAGTACATTCCTTAGCTAAGAGCTCCTCGCTGGGAACTCTAATCTCTCAGCCGGAAACCTTTCGTGCGAAGTTGAGAATACACATAATCTAGTCTAGGGCCACTATAAGGTTTAAGGTTTAGGGTTTAGGATGTAGGACTATAACTCTACTTACAACCATCCTCTCCTCGAAGACTCCAGAAAGCCAACGAAAAGCCGAGCAGCAAGCATCTCCCGAAAATTGCCTTCCTCTTTGGGAACGCCGTCAGGGCTCACAATAACTCCACCTCACTCGCTGGCCGAGGGAATGCGAAAGGCAGGTTTCAGAGGATTGCAGGCTTAAGCGTAACCTAGACCCCATGCCTGCGCACGAAACTACGACCCACGTACTCAGCGCAACGAAGGAAGGGCTCTGTGGGGAGCACTAAACCCTAAACCGGGTTTAGGGTTTGGGGTAACCCTAAACCCTAAACCCTAAACCCTAAACCCTACACCCTAAACTCTAAACCCTACAAACGAATGCTTGGATTCCAGCCGTAGTGGTCGAATTTGCACGGCAGCGTCTTGGCACAGCCCTGTGAGGACCCAGAGATCCAGAAGACCTTGGGGGGGTTTAGGGTTTAGGGTTTAAGGTTTAGGGGGTTTGGGGTTTTGCGGTTTGGGGATTTCGGGTGTAGGGTTTCGGGGGCTCTTGGGGATTTAGGGTTGAGCGTTTGGGGGTTTGCGGTTTTTGGGTTGAAGGTATAGAGTTTTTGAGTTGAGAGAGGGTTTGGGGCTCAGAGTTTGGGGTTTAGGAGGGTAGGGGGGGGGGGGGGGGGTGAAGGGTCTTGGGGCTCAAGGGCTTGGGCTCTGGGGCCTTCAAGACCCCAAGACCTTAAACCCTGTAAACCCTATAAACCCTATAAACCCTAAAAACCCTAAAAACCCTAAAAACCCTAAAAACCCTAAAAACCCTAAAAACCCTAAAAACCCTAAAAACCCTAAACACCCTAAAAACCCTAAACACCCTATAAAACCCCAAAAAACCCTAAACCCTGAATCTTCGGGCGTGGGACTCTAGCTGAAGGGAGATGCGCTCACAGGGAGGGAGCCTCGGAAGACCGGGCCAGGCCCCAAGACCCGACTTAGGGCTGAGGCCTTAGGGTTGAGGGCTTTGGGGTTTGGTTTACAGGGTTTAGGGTTTAGGGTTTAGGGTTTAGGGTTTAGGGTTTAGGGTTTAGGGTTTAGGGTTTAGGGTTTAGGGTTTAGGCCACCAGCTGGTCCTCTGTCAATTGCCCGGAGACTCGAGCATCCCTTGATGCGGGAGCATTGCACAAAATCATAATGGTCTGCCCCTTGACAAAATAAGGAAGATTCCGTGCTAGAACAGCCCTAAACCCTAAACCCTAAACCCTAAACCCTAATTGAGCACTCAACCCCTAAACCCATACTATGAGGGTTTAGGGATCTCCTAACTGCAGCCTTGCCACTGACTGCTTGTCCGCCGCCTTATATGAGCAAAGGGGCCCAAACATTCCAAACATGGCCTGGTTAATCATGCGTAAGCCCCAAACCCTGAGCCCTGTAAACCCTATCAACCCTAAACCCTAAAACCCTAAAGCCAGAATAAGGAACCACACGTTCTATTCAATTCCCATGAATGAAGCGGTTTTGGAAGATCTGGGACAGCACACAGGGCACGACGATTGAGACGAGGGAGGCTCACAGGGTTGCAGTTACGGAACGTACACTGAGCTACCATGGAAGTTTACTCTACACACATAAACTAATAAATGAATATACATATATATATATATACATGTATTTGTTTATTTATATGACATCCACACAGGTTTGGGTTTTTTAGGGGCTTTCGGGGCTTTGGGTTTTAGGTTTTAGGGTTTTAGGGGTCAGGGTGTTAGGGTTTACGGCTTCTTGAGACTTTGAAGTCGTTTTTGCTTGGGGACCTTCAGGGCTTAGGGCTTTCGAACCTGCACTCTTTTATCCCTGAAGCACCCTAAACCCAAAAACCTAAACCCTAAACCCTAAACCCTAAACCCTAAACCCTAACCCTAAACCCTAAACCCCTAAACCCCTAAACCCTAACCCCGCAACCCCCCAACTACAAGGGAAGTTGGCAGCCCTGAAAGCCCTTTACCCGGGCTCCCTGTGGCTAGTTCATGGTTGGGATAATATTTCAAATTTAACTGTGTATTCCTTCTTGGGTTTAAGTACCCTAAAACATGTAAAATGTTACCCAACTATGGGGAAATATTACACATTTAACTGTGTATTCCTTCTTGGGTTTAAGTACCCTTAAGAATGGGAACTGTTCCCCAACTATGACAAAGGAAGGCCTAGGCACCGCCTTGGCCTTGTCACGAGAGCTGCAAGCAGTAGGCTTCAAGCCGAAGGCTGTCGCGGAAACGGCCGGGGCTGCCTGAGAAAAGAAATCGCTGGGCTGTAGGGTTTAGGGTTTAGGCTTTAGGGTTTGGGTTTTAGGGTTTAGGGTTTAGGGTTTGGGGTTTAGGGTTTAGGGTTTGGGGCTTGGGGTTTGGGGTTTGGGGTTTTGGTTTGGGGCTTGGGGCTTGGGGCTTGGGGCTTGGGGCTTGGGGGCTTGGGGCTTGGGGCTTGGGGCTGGGGGCTTGACATAGTAGGATTTTAGCACCCCATATTCTAGTCCCTATTAAGGACTGTCAGTATAAGGGGGAACATCCTAGTGTATTATAGAGTTCAAGGTCCAGGATGTCGGGTTCAGGTATGGGGCTTTCAGGATTCTAGAGTGTCGACTCGGGGCTAGTACGGTCCAGGGTTGGGAAATAATTGCTTTGGAGTCTGCCTTCGGATAGCCTCATGAGGTTGAACTATTGGAGTCTTCTCGTTTGAGAGCGGGGACACACATAGTTCACGCAACCCCTATGATGCTGGGTTCAGGGATCAGCCTAAGAGTAGTCTCATCCTTCAAACTACAAATCGTTTAGGAAGATCCTCCCTTTTTGAATGAATAGCACATGGTAGATTCTTCAATTCATCTCCAAAAAAGTATCAGAGTCAAAGAACGGAGTCCTGATTGTCGGAAGCACGCAGATGGTTTTGTTCGTGGCGACCTGCTTAACTCTGCCCATGGCCCCCCTGATGTTGGGCCAGGCGCCAAGAAAGCCTGCGGCGCGGCCGCAAGGCGCCGCCAGGCACGAGACATGGCGCGTGGCACGCCCCAGCGCTTAGGGTCAAGGATCGAAGCAAAAGATACAGCAATCGGCGACCTAGCCCCGCCCTTCTTGGAGGAGTTGTATTGGGCTTCCAACAATGAGGGGCGACCTTTCGGGCCCTAGATTGGATTCAAGTATTTTGTGGCGCGTTCAAAGGGGTACTGGTCGAGGGTGGGGGGGGGGGGTGTGGTCAGGGCCCCTCGGCTTGAACGGACGACCCTCACGGAGAGCCACACGTAAGGCCCCAACACTGAGACCAACCCTAAACCCTAAACCCTAAACCCTAAACCCTAAACCCCAATCATGTTCAAGGGTGTTAGCCGAAGCTCTCAAGCCAATTGCTGCAAGCGAGTGCAGAAGACCGGGAGAACCTCTCTGTTCTCACGGGTTGACGGAGACTTCTTGGCTGCACTTAGTAAGTAGGGTAGCTATAACTTAAAATTCTAGCTGCCTTATTAAGAAACCCAAGAAACCCAAAAAGGCAAACGATCTAAGGCTTCAGTAAAGCACCACAGAGAATTGTCGGATCCAACAACGAAAATATACATCGAAGGAGCAGGGCTGGGCTCATGCAGACGTGTGTAATGGAGGTTGGGAACCCAGAAACTCCCAGACCCCTGAATTAAGGAAGATTCCTTACATTCTACTGGGGTTCCCTATTCTGGCTGTAAAGAATATTCTTTAACTAAGGCCTTAAGGGGTATTGGAGTCTTTTGGGAAAGCAAGCACTTCTTTCGTCTTTGTATGCCAGGGGCGTCGGACCGTGTGAGCGTGCCCCGTCTGTCCGGTTGCAATGGGGTTCGGGCTCTCTCTCTCTCTCTCTCTCTCTCTCTCTCCCTCCCTCCCTCCCTCACCACACAGTGACCAAAAATGACGACTTTGAAAGGGCACCGCACAGCGACCAAAAATGAAGACTTAGAAAGGGCACCACACAGTGACCCTCCCTCCCTCCCTCTCCCTGCCTGAAACCAAAAACCCTAGAGCCCAAGACCCGAAACTCCAAAGGCACATGGAAGGAGCACCTAGAAGGCCGGACCCAGGCTTTGCTTGAGATTTTCAGAAGAACGGTTTAGGGTTTACGCCCAAAGCCCTACACCCTCGAAGGGCTAAAACGGACATGAAGTAGGGTTTATATTTCTTGCACCCCCAGAAGGACACCCAAGGTATACACTCACCAAAAACAGTAGATATAAAAGGTATACACTCACCAAAAACAGTAGATATAAAACTTGCTTCATATAGGGCTTGGGGTTCTCTGCAAAAGGGGACTGGAAGGGGACTGGCGCCACGAAAAAGGCACCTCAGGGGGAGGTGGACCTTACACCCTAAACCTAAAACTCCACAACCCTAAACCCTAGACCCTAAACCCGAAATCCTAAACCCTAAACCCTAAACCCTAAACCCTCAGCCCTAAACCCTAAACCCTCCTGGAGGCGCATGTCCAGCATCTTCCGCTCCGCTGTGAGGCCGGGCCTGAGAGCGCAGGGTGGCTGGTTTAGGGTTTAGGGTTTAGGGTGTAGGGTCTAGGGTCTAGGGTTTTAGGGTTACGGGTTTAGGGTTTAGGGTGTAGGGTGTAGGGTTTAGGGTATCGGGTTTAGGGTTTCGGATTTAAGGTTTAGGGGATCTGGCTCAGGGTTTAGGGTGTAGGGTATCTGGCTTTTCGGGCTTCTGGTTTCAGGTCTAGGGTCGCTGGTTTAGGGTTTCTGGCTTAGGGTTTACTTTAGTAGCCCAGTAACCATATTATAGTAAGGGCACCCTTTTTTGGGTTGGGTTGCTTTATAAGGGAAGGCGGGAACCCAGAACCAAAGAAAGGGTAAAGGGTACCACTGGGCTACCAAGTTAGGGATTCTGTAGAGGTTCATGGAGGTTCCTGGACCTTGCGGCTAGGGAGCAAGTGGGTTTAGGGTTTAGGGTTTAGGGTTTAACGGGGCCCCCCATTGTAGCATTCTAGGGCAAGTTTAGAGTAGTGTTTCTAGGATTGAATGTTTTCGGAGGCCCCAACCCCAAAAATTTTGAAGGTTTAGGGCTCAGGAACTCTGATGTAAATCCTACAAGCTCTCAGCCCCCACAACGTACCTGTCATGAAAAGAAGATAGCCTTTTGCAAGACAGAAACGTCCCGGCTCAAAAGGTCTTAGACCCATGAAATTCCTGCCTAGTTGTTGTTTGAATTGTGTCGTTTTGAAGCCACAAGAGCAAAACCCTAAACCCTAAACCCTAAACCCTAGACCCTAAACCCTAAACCCTAACCCCTAAACCCTAAACCCTACACCTCCCCAACCCTGCAGAGGTCGTGACAGCGACACTGCCAGAAACTGCAGCCGCGCGTCCGCCGTGAGAGACCTGTTGAAGAAAGCCTTCTTGTGATCTAGGGGGCTTAGGATTTAGGGCTTAGGGTTTAGGATTTAGGGTTTGGGGTTTAGGATTTAAGGATATGGGGGTTTCCGAAATTCGGGGTACCTTCGTGGGGTTCCTGTTATCAAAGAACCTTCCTATTTGTGGTCTACTTTCAGGTTCCCTTATTTACGTACCCCCCATACATGGGCCCCTCGATATGGTCCGTTGCCTCCTTTAAAGGGTTCTGAAGCATGAACCCTTGGGTTGTATAGGGTATGTAAGGGGTACCTCATGTCGGAAAACCCACACTTGTTTTCGGCATGCGTCATAAGCTCTGCATCTTTCCCAGCAAGCTCAATATCCTTTGACTAGGGAACATACCTGGAAACAAAAAAGGAATCCTAATGTATGATACTTGGCTGCACTTAGCAGGGTAGCTATAAATTTAATTTTCAGCTGCCTTAGTTATTAAGAAACCCAATAAACCCAAAAAGGCTAAAGATCCAAAGTTACAGTAAAGCACCAAAAAGCGATGTGCGGTAAGTATATTCCCTAAAGTGGTATGGGGCTCTTTGGGTTTATAGCATCCTACTTGCTGGACTTCTGTGGAGGTGGACGTGCCAGTAAAGCTGTCGGCAGCCAATTCTGAAAATTGGGCACGAACATAAACCCTGTGAATCCTACAGCAAACTCCAGAAAGTTGGAACATTGTTTAAGGATGATTAGAGAAGGGATTCCCTTTAGTATTCCTATTGGGGCATGGGGATAAGGATGTTCCAACTTTTTGGAGTTTACTGCGCACGCTAAGCTGCGAAACCCCAAACCCTGAAACCATACACCCTAAACCCTAAACCCTATATATTTCGTAAGCAAGGGCAACGTGAAAGAGCGGTGCCTGTGCTGCAGCTGCGCGCCGCTTTGCAGATCCTTGGCAAAATCCGGGGGGTTGGGGTTTAGGGTTTAGGGTTTAGGGTTTAGGGTTTAGGGTTTAGGGTTTAGGGTTTAGGGTTTAGGGTCTAGGGTCTAGGGTCTAGGGTCTAGGGTCTAGGGTCTAGGGTCTAGGGTTTAGGGTTTAGGGTTTAGGGTTTCAGAGTTTGAGCGTTTAGGGTTTGGGTGTATGGTTTAGGGTTTGGGGTTTGGGGTTTAAGGTTTAGGGTTCAGGGTGCAGGGTGCTACAACCTAAAGGTGATCATTGAAATCACCGCCAGGTGCTCGCGGCTGCTACTGTCCTGCCACCTAAACCCTAAACCCTAAACCCTAAACCCTAATCCCTAATCCCTAAACCCTAAACCCTAAACCCTAAACCCTAAACCCTAAACCCTAAACCCTAAACCCTTCACCGCAAGGCAGCGGCTCCCTGCATCTCTTGCCTCTGGGCGGATAGGCGCCTCCCAAGCATGTGGGGTCCCGTCTTGGTTTAGGATGTCTAGGGTTAGGGTTTAGGGTTTAGGGTTTAGGGTTTAGGGTTTAGGGTTTAGGGTTTAGGGTTTAGGGTTTAGGGTTTAGGGTTTAGGGTTTAGGGTTTAGGGTTTAGGGTTAGGGTTTAGGGTGTAGGGGTGTAGGGGTGTAGGGGTGTAGGGGTGTAGGGGTGTAGGGTTTAGGGTTTAGGGTTTAGGGTTTCACTAGGGTTTAGGATGTGGGGTTGAAGGTCTATGCTTTTAGGGTGTGGGGCTTGGGGCTCAGGGTTACGGTTTTGCATGGAATATAGAAAATGTAAGGCAATCACCGGGAATCAAATGTACTATAACAGGGCTTAGCTAAGAATTATAGGTTGGCCATTTAAGCCCTCAGAAAATGTTCCCGAATCTGGATACTCTTGAACCAGTACGGGTTGCTATAACATATCCCAGTGTCCTACCTAGGGAGCTGAACACGTATGCAAAGTACACACACACAAACACACCAGAGCTGTAGCGAGGAAGCTAAACCCTCGACCCCGAACCTGGACCCTAAGCCCTGAACTCTAAACCCCCAAATCCTCAACCTGAGCCCAAAAAACCTTGAGGTCTGACGGCTTTAGGCTTAAGGGTTCAGGCTTTAGGGTTTAGGGTTTCGGGTTAAGGCTTTAGGGCTTAGGGTTCGGGATTAATAATCCCTATACTGCCCATATAAGGAAGAAGACTTCCATTTTTCTGGGCGGTTCTTAAGCCACTAGTGTACCTCGAGTACTTCGTGCAATGCCTGGTCTGCTGCTCGGCGGCCATCTGCGCAGACTGAACCTTCGCCACAGCAGAACGGGCTCGATACTTTGAGGTCGATGGTTGAGGGTTTACCCGAAACCCTAAACCCTAAACCCTAAACCCTGGTTAATGGGCTGTGGGCTGAGGTTTGAAGTTCAGTTTGGGGCCCAGTATGGATCCGCCAGCCTCTTCCTGCAGACGCGCGTAGGAGGCTTGTTTTGCCCGACACTCGTCCTGCATGGCAGTGACACAGACAGACGTGCATCCCGGTTAAACTCGGAAGCACCTAGATCTTAATGGTTCTTGGTCGGGATGCCGTAAAGCAGGACAGAAGGTATCAAATGTAGGAGAGCTTGATTCCAGAATATCCTTGCAGTTTAGGTGCAGGGTATGCATGCCCCAAGGGTCGTGGAGCAGAAATGCACGACGAGTACAAGTCCCCTGAGAGATTCCAATAGCGAAGTTCCAATTTCC